GCGTGAGCGTGTTAAGATAGGAGTGAATGGAGACAAATGGTATTTGGGACCTGACGAGCTGTTGGAGTGTGAGCAGGGTAATACAGTGGACCCCCGGTTAACGATATTTTTTCACTCCAGAAGTGTGTTCAGGTGCCAGTACTGACCGAATTTGTTCCCATAAGAAATATTGTGAAGTAGATTAGTCCATTTCAGACCCCCAAACATACACGTACAAACGCACTTACATGAATACACTTACATAATTGGTCGCATTCGGAGGTAATCGTTATGCGGGGGTCCACTGTATTTAGTGAAGAGATTCAGGGAAACCGGTTATTTTATATAACCGGACTTGAGTCCTGGAAATGGGAAGTTCAATGCCTGCACTCTAAAGAAGGGGTTTGGGATATTGGCAGTTTGGAGGGACATATTGTGTATGTTTATACGTATATACTTCTAAGCTGTTGTATTCTGGGCACCTCTGCAAAAACAGTGATTATGTGTGAGTGAGGTGAAAATGTTGAATGATGATGAGAGTATTTCTTTTTGGGGATTTTCTTTCTTTTTGGGTCACCCTGCCTCGGTGGGAGACGGCCGACTTGTTAAAAAAAAAAAAATTCTTGTACCTGGAATTCCACTGGAATGAATTAATTCCATTTCAATTAATTTAAATGAGGAAAATTGACTCTGCAAATGGGCAAATCCAGTTGCGAGCAGGGTCATGGAACGGATTAAACTCCTAAGTAGAGGTTCCACTGTATATGTTAAATACAGTGGACCCTCAAATTTCATCATCCCTTTTCTGAATGTAAAACTATAGTTTTTTATTTATTTTTTTTATTTTTTATTAACACATTGGCTAATTCCCACCAAGGCAGGGTGGCCCGAAAAAGAAAAACTTTCATCATCACTTACTCCATCACAGTTTTAAAGCTGCAACATTAACACCCCTCCTTCAGAGTATAGACACTGTACTTCCCATCTCCAGGACTCAAGTCTGGCCTGCAGGTTTTCCTGAATCCCTTCATAAATGTTACTTTGCTCACACTCCAACAACACGTCAAGTATTAACCCTTTGACTGTTTCAGGCCCCTCTCTGAAACTGGAAACTGTCATTCTATGTCGCTCAATTTTTTTGAAAAAAAAAAATTATTTATTTTTTCTTTGAAATGATAGAGAATCTTTTTTCTCCGATGGTAAGGGACACCAAAAGTTCGAAATTTGGGTCGAAAACTCATGGAATTATGCTCCCGCGAAGTTAGCGGGTCTCGGCGACATATGCGTATCGGCGATTTTCGCCGACTTTTGAGCCCTATTTCAGCCAAATCCATTGTTCTAGTTATGACCAAACACATAGCTATTTCTTTAGAATTCCATTTTGTCTATCGCTGAGTACAAGAAACCTCCCATTTAAATTAAATTGGATTACCCAATATGGTGTCAAAATTTGGCAATTGACCAATGTTCAGCACAAACTAAAAAAGATGCCAATTTCAAAAATAGGGTCCGAATAAACAAGTAGACATTCGTGGTACTAAATAACATATGCTCTGTTCATTAGTCATATCCTAGGCCCCCCTTATATATTATTGCTTTCTATTTTGATTTTTTAATCATACAAAAAAAATACAAAATACTGTTATGCAAACTACTGCATTATCTGTATAAATGATATAAATAATATTCAGGCACTAGTTTGAAAGAATATTAGACTCCCCACAGTTGACCGTGTATTGGACGTGGTGTGTGATTTATTTACTCCTGAACATTGGTAAAAATCCGAACATTTCCGCTACTTTGAGCCAGTTTTCAAGGTTTTTTCATTGTCAAAGTAATGAAAAATCATCTCTATATCTGTAAATGTTTTCCAGTTTATCACCTAAGACCATGAAAAAAGCGTATACAACGATAAATACTATACGAAAATACACCTCAAAGTCGCCCGTTTTATTCCACAAAAAACGATCATTTTTTTTTCTCATTACGCAATGTGTGCTGCAGGATTTTTTTTATGTGGTGCACACTGACCACACAGACCCATTCTCTCACATGTGGGCCTACCAGCTTTCTCCCGCTTGATTTGAGCGCTAGAATTATTAAGTATATATACGTCAGAAACATTGGCACGCCAAGAAAACGTAATATAGAGGGGGGGGGGGGCGTCGAAAACAGTCAAAGGGTTAAAAACCATTCGTCTCAATTCACTCCTATCAAATACGCTCAGGCACGCTTGCTGGAAGTCCAAGCCCCTCACACACAAAACCTCCTTTACCCCCTCCCTCCAACCCTTCCTAGGCCGACCCCTACCCCGCCTTCTCTCCACTACAGATTTATACTCTATAGTTATTCTCTATAAAATGTATTTTCTGTTAATATTTTTGGGTGTCTGGAATGGATTAATTGGATTTACATTATTTCTTATGGGAAATATTAACAAAAAATACATTTTATAGAGAATAACTATAGTTTTACATACAGAAAAGGAATGATGAAATTTGAGGGTCCACTGTATAATATTTAGAGAGAATGGATCTAACTAGAATGACTTGGAGAGCATGTAAATCTGTAGGGAAAGGAAGGCGGGGTAGGGGTCATCTTCGAAAAGGTTGGAGGGAGGGGATAAAGGAGGTTTTGTGGGCAAGAAGCTTGGACTTCCAGCAAGCGTGCCTGAGTGTATTAGATGGGAGTGAATGGAGACAAATTCAATTCAATTCAAATTCAAATTCAAAGTTTATTCTCTATAAGGATTACAATGCTGAGTTTACAGAAATTTGGTTATTGTGTGGTTTACATGTAGTAAAATAGTGATTACAGAGTGTACCACTAGAACGCTTAGCATGGCTAGGCATTTCGGGCAGACTTAGTTTTATTCTTAATTGTAAAATATTACAAATTATGAGGTAAGTTGGTATTATGGCTAAGTGACTAAATACTAGTTTGTGAGTTTAGCAATGAAATGCTTTTGTTTTGGCACGTACATAGTTTCAGTATTGGAGTATCACGGGATTCTTTAAATTTTAAGATTGAGATTAATATTTCTGTTTATGGTCAAATGAGTCAGTGAGTGTAAGTGTGAACCACCAGGTGGTATTCGTGTAGTTAGTTGACAGGGTGTATCAGGGAGATAAGATGTTTTCTAATGGTAGTTTTGAAGGTGATGAATGTGTCTGCAGTTCTAGAGTTCTCAGGTAGGGTATTCCAGATTTTAGGGCCTTTGACATACATTGAATTTTTGTAAAGGTTTAGTCGGACACGGGGAATGTCGTAGAGATGTTTGCGTTTTAGGTCAAGGTTGATATTAGAGTTTAAGGCCCTGTAGATGTAGATTGCACAGTAGTAAGTGTGGATGTACTGAACAGGGAGTAAGTTTAGGTCTAGAAGAGGGGGAGGTGTGTTGCCAGGGATGGGATTTAGTGATTATTCTTACTGCAGCTTTTTGTTGGGTTATTATTGGCTTTAGGTGTGTTGCTGCAGTTGATCCCCAAGCACAAATGGCATAGGTGAGGTATGGATAAATAAGTGAGTGGTATAGTGTGAGAAGGGCATTTTGCGGCACGTAGTATCGTATCTTGGAGAGGACCCCAAACCGTTTTTGGATACTTTTTTGGTTATAGTGGTATGGGTGCTGAAATTCAGGTTGTTGTCAAGGTATAAGCCTAGGAATTTGCCCCCCATTATTTCTGGTAATTAGAGTGTTGTCAATCTTAATGTTAATTTGTGCATCTCTGCTCTGCTACCAAACATAATATAGTAGGTTTTGTCAGTGTTAAGCGTAAGTTTATTGGCTGTCATCCAAGTCGATATTTTGATCAGCCTCATCCACAGTATGTTGAGGGTGGCAAGATTAGGGTGAGAGATACCATAAGTCGTGTCGTCAGAAAGAGAATGGGTTTCAGGTGTTGGGATACGTTTGGAAGGTCATTGATGTATATGAGGAAGAGCAGGGGACCAAGGACACTTCCCTGCGGAACTCCAGTATCAAGTGGCCGTGTTGCTGATGCTGTGTCTTTAATGGTGACATACTGATACCTATTAGTAATGTAAGATTTGAAATAAGCAAGCGCATGGCCTCTTATACCGTAATGATCAAGTTTGTAGGGTAGGATGTCGTGGTCTACTGTGTCAAAAGCTTTTCTTAGGTCAATAAAAATTCCTAGTGGATATATGGGTATATGGTATATGGGACCTGACGAACTGTTGGAGTGTGAGCAGGGTAATAGTGAAGGGATTCAGGGAAACTGGTTAGCCGGACTTGAGTACTGGACATGGGAAGTACAATGCCTGCACTTTAAAGGAGGGGTTTGGGATATTGGGAGTTTGGAAGGATGTGTTATGTATCTTTGTATAGGCTTCTAAACTGTCATATCTGGGCATCTCTGCAAAGACAGTGATTATGTACGAGTGAGGTGAAAGTATTAAATGATGATGAAAGTATTTTCTTTTTGGGGATTTTCTTTCTTTTTGGGTCACCCTACCTCGGTGGGAGATGACAGACTTGTTGAAAAGAAAATCTTTTTACAGCTTATGCTATTCTCAGTGTTTTAAGCAAATCTTTAGTTAATTAAAAAAATAATCAAAAATATTAAGCGATATATAAGCACTAGAGGTTACACTTTCCTATATAATATTGATTTACTTTTTTTAACACTGACCAGCATTAATTTACTTGTAAGGTAAAAACAGTATGTACATTGGACCCCCGGTTTACAATATTATTTCATTCCAGAAGTATGTTCAAGTGCCAGTACTGGACGAATTTGTTCCCATAAGGAATATTGTGAATTAGATTAGTCCATTTCAGACCCCCAAACATACACGTACAAACGCACTTACATAAATACACTTACATAATTGGTCGCATTGGGAGCTGATCGTAAAGCGGGGGTCCACTGTATTTGGAAAGGTACAGAATATGAAGAGAAACAATTTGAAGTCAAGTGTTTTAATAATAAAGTGAGATGTTACTATGCTGATCAAAAATGATCATATTGTGGATTGTGAAACATGGTGTTCTTTAGAGTTTTTGCAGGCACGTGGAATGTTAATGGTAGATCACCAACTGTTGGGCTCGCTGAGTGGCTGTCTGTGGATGAAGACCCTCCTGATGTGTATGGTATAGGCTTCCAGGAATTAGACCTTAACACAGAAACATTCCTTTTCAATAATACTCCAAAGGAACAAGAATGGCTGTAAGTACTGACAAGTACTGTTTTTTATTGCTGTTCATGTTAAGTTTTTCTGTTAAGGTAACTAAAACATTAGGCTGTTTCAATTTTTTCATGTCATAGCCATTTTGTGAAACTGAGATTTCCTTGACACCATTAATGTTCCATCCTTCAAGAAGCCATTATGTAAATATCTATTAGAGAGAGATAATTCAGAGAAAGAGCCTTTTCATATGTAGCTACTAGGTTATTCAGCATTTTGCCAGTGTCTATTAAAAGTCAGGAATCTATTCATGCTTTCCTGTATGACCCAAGTCTCTATTGAATGCACATCTCTTTTCTAGATCTTATGATACTGACGATTGTACTGTCACTCTTTAATATATATTGTATTGCTTCTTCGTTGTTTTTGTTGCTGTTTCTATGATGTGGTGTGTGAGTGCCTTTGAATTTCTTGAAAGAATAGGCTGTGATGTTGGCACACTTCTGGAAAGACAGTGATTTAATAAATATTGTATTGTAGTTTGATGTGCTAGGTGTTATGGTGTTGGCAGTACTATTTCCATTGTGTTTACTTAAAAGAGAATAAATAAATTTAGATGGACTTGAGTTTTGGAGGTGGGAAGTACTGTACTGTTAATACACTCTGAAGGAGGGGTGGACATGTTAATGTGTGGAGGATCATTTGAATTGTGATGTCTGCATACTTCTGGCAAGATAGCTACTGAATGAATGATGAAGAATCCTTCCTCTTTTTTTGGGTTGCCCTACCTTGGAAACTAGTTAGTATGGTAAAAAAAATAGTAAACATTTGTTCTCATTGTCCCTTATATACAGAATTCAATTACCCAATGTTTATATTGATGGGCAACCTGTAAATAGTTTCAATTATCCACAGGTATTTTTTCAGGCTTGGTGGATGACCTTTAAAATGAAAACTAACCATGGCATTTCATTCAGAATGTGCTCATTTGCTTTCCCACCACAAATCTTTCTTCATTCCAGACACTCTTCCTTTGAATCTTAATATTAACCAAATTAGTCTTTGAAGAACAAAATAAGTAATGTTAAATATATGATGGTATGGCAGAGAATGTGAGAGGAAAAAATAAAAGCCTCAATTCCATTGCTGGAACAGTTCACAAATAAATCTTACTCAAAATACTGCTTAGTGTGGATGGCTCCATTCAAGGCAGGAGAGGTATCAGAGTTGAAACAAGTACAGAGAACATTTATTGCTTGCATAAAGTAGGTAAAGCATTTAAACAACTGTAAACTTGAAGAACTGGGATTGTACACTCTTGTGTGTACAAGGTAAGAGAGATATGTGATATTTACATGGAAGATACTGCACGCTACCATAACAAGATACTAAAGTGAGAAATATTGGAGGAAGTGCTAAAAGACCCAGTGAAAAGCAGGGAATTCATGGTCTCAATAAAAGAATATTGTGTCAACATCTGGAGTTCTTGATGACTCAACCTATTACTAACTAATATTAGAAATATTGCCATAATTTAAAATATAAAATAATAACTGTATACAGTAGAGCATGATATATGCTTCAGATGATCTGGTCTCATTTTGTTTCCCTCTGTATTGAGTAACCTTTTCCTTGGGCTGTAATCATATTAGTAACTAACACCTTTGTATAATTGTTCTAGAAATGCAGTACTGAATGGCATCCACCCGAAAGCTAAGTACCAGAAAGTGCGTTTGGTCCGTCTTGTGGGAATGATGCTCATTGTGCTGGTGCAAGAGAAACACTTGGCTTATGTTCGCAGTGTTTCCACTGACACTGTTGGTACTGGCATCATGAATAAAATGGTAAACATGCTTTCTCTCTCTCTCTCTCTCTCTCTCTCTCTCCTCTCTCTCTCTCTCTCTCTCTCTCTCTCTCTCTTGGATATTAATTTAATGTATTCTTTTTAATTACGACACTGGCCGTATCCAATTCGAGCGGTGTGGCCAAAGGAAAAACGAAAGTTTCTCCTTTTACATTAAAAAATATATACAATGCAATAAGTTTGCTTGACTCAGCCCCTTGCATCCCTGAATTTTATGTCGCCTGCATTACCACACGCATGGCTTCAGGAGTAAATGTCTGTTCCCTTTCCCAATGGAGATAAAGAGAGAAATAACAAAGGAATAAGAACTAGTAAAGAAACTAGAAGAAAACCCAGAGGTGTTATATGATGTTTGTACTGTATGTGTAGTGGGACTAAGTGTAAGTAAGTAGAAGTACGTGATCCTGAAACTTGCATGTTCATGAGACAGTAAAAAAGGAACAGCAATCCTACCATCATGTAAAACAATTACAGGCTTTCGTTTTAAACTCACTTGGCAGGACGGTAGTACCTCCCTGGGCGGTTGCTGTCTACCAACCTACTACCTAGGTAATTTAATGTATATTTTGTTTAATTGGTTCTGTTTCATTGGATAATAATTTTTTATGAGCAGTTTTGTCTGATGTAGAGAATTAATTCAGTGTACCATACACTTTTTATTATTACAAAAATAAATAACAAAATCATATTATTAATGATTCTGCTTGACCCCTCACAGATGTAATGCATTCCATGAAAAATAATAATAATTCTTTGAACTGCAGCATCCCCTCCCATTCTTCAGGGTTTTCTTAAATGATTTTTTTTCCCTAGATTAGGTAGATCTAAAGATTTTCTGAGTCATCAGTATAATCTGAGGAAGGAGTTTGATACTGTTATAAGGTTTACTCAGGATAATCACTTATCAGATTTCATCAGTGCATTAATCTAGTTCTTTCCTTCGTAGTCAGGAAGTATGGAAAAAAGAATCATTGTCCAGAATTCAATGTTGCTTTACCTGTGAAAAGATTTTGCAGTTAAATATTTAATTGAACATTAAAATGGTATAAAATACCGACAGGTTGTTAGGTAAGACACATATGCAACAGTTAGGTATCTTTATTTCGAAACGTTTCGCCTACACAGTAGGCTTCTTCAGTCGAGTACAGAAAAGTTGATAGAAGCAGAAGGGACTTGAAGACGATGTAATCAGTCCATCACCCTTAAAGTTTTGAGGTGGTCAGTCCCTCAGTCTGGAGAAGAGCATTGTTCCATAGTCTGAAACAATATTGTTTCAGACTATGGAACACTGGAACAATATTGTTTCAGACTATGGAACACTGGAACAATATTGTTTCAGACTATGGAACAATGCTCTTCTCCAGACTGAGGGACTGACCACCTCAAAACTTTAAGGGTGTTGGACTGATTACATCGTCTTCAAGTCCCTTCTGCTTCTATCAACTTTTCTGTACTCGACTGAAGAAGCCTACTGTGTAGGCAAAACGTTCCGAAATAAAGATACCTAACTGTTGCATATGTGTCTTACCTAACAAATATTTAATTGCTGTGTTTTTACTGTCATTAAAGTAAATGTACTAAATGATAAAATAAGCATGATGTATTTGAGAAATTACCTAACCTCTCCATTTTTTATTTTTTTTTATTATGTCCATAATGTGGGAGCATTCCACCTTGATGAAACTCTTGGTACGTATTTACTTCACTGGACTCAGATGGCATGGCCTGATGAAACAGAAAATAATGTTTAATATGTTATCCCTCAAATGAAAATGGGACAGTAATGTATTGAAATTTTAATACCACATGCAATGATATATTTCTTAAGAACCATGCATTATTCTTGCCTCAGTCTAGTGTGGAATGTTATCACATTACCTCCGGTTTTGAAAATGTACTTTATGTGAGCATGAAATTTTTTTGGTCATTGAATAACATTGTATTTGAAACTTTTTTTTGTATTATTTTTGTAAATAATCCACTTAAAAGTTCTGCATAAATTTTGCATGCTGGTCAGAATCATCTACACTGCTGTTGCACTTTAAATCTGTATGAATTTTAATTGCTACATTTTTGTGATATCAGTGCTTGTATAACTGATTCAGATCATGTGTAATTTTTGGTTATGCACTTAATAGAATGAACTATTGCTCAACCTAATAATATACAATCGATTTAATTTTCTCATTAACTGGTCCAATGTATTATTATCAAGAATGCTTCTCATTTTGTATATCATTGTCATTTAGTAATCAGAAATACATTTCACTAGTTTGGCTTTTGCACCATATTACAGTAGTCACTGTTCAATACATTCTTGGTAGTCACTGTTATTTTGCTCCTTAGGAGGATACTGTACACCCATAATTGGTGCATTGTGTTTATAACTCATCTCTCAGGGATACTTAGTACATACTCTTAATTTATGGTCTAGGTGTGCCGATACTGTACTGATACATGTACATATTTCCATATGGTATCACAGGCTATATTGCACCTTTGCATTCAAACTTTCATTCCATTCTGAGCAGTGATTTATGGAAATACTTTATATCAGATTCTCATTCAGTTTTATACATTTCCATAATACTGTATGTACTTTGCAGATTACGTTATCTGCATAACCCATGAATATTGAGAGACAAAATATCCACACAGGTTATATATCCAATAACAAATACAACATGTTTTCCACGAGAAAAACAGCTCTCAAAAGTTAGTGCTTAAGATTAGGTTTATAAAATTGTGTAAATAACATTTATCACAGTCCCAGTGTATGTGTTAGATTTTTTGCTCTAATCCTTGGTTTACTTGGTTTACTCATATTTACTCAGTTTGCTTGGAGGGATATGTTGTGTATCTCTATACGTATATGCTTCTAAACTGTTGTGTTCTGAGCACCTCTGCAAAAGCAGTGATAATGTGTGTGTGTGGTGAAAGTGTTGAATGATGATGAAAGTATTTTCTTTTTGGGGATTTTCTTTCTTTTTTTTGGGTCACCCTGCCTCGGTGGGAGACGACCGACTTGTTGAAAAAAAAAAAAAAAAAAAAAACACTAATCCTAATTGTGATTGATGAATCTTGGAATCCATTTTTCTGAGGAAAATTAAGGACCTATGTACTGTCATTTTTTCTAATTATTATTGAGTATGTTCACAATAAATCTGTACAAACTGTATAAATGTTTCATGCTTATTTTAAGACATACTGTATTTTGAAATGTTATGAAATCTAACAAAAACCAATATGTAACTGCCATAGTACCTAGAATGGACTGAAAATTGGTAAGCTTTGATACATGATACAGTGGAACTTCGGTTTACAACCAGCTTCCTACTCGAACAAAGCTCAGCATTCGACCAAACAAACACAACCTGCCAGAACTTCGCTGTAAACTATTTTGTGTTCTCATTTTTTGGTGTTTTTTGTATTCTTTCTTCTTTTTTTCAACACACCGGCTGTATCCCACCGAGGCGGGGTGGCCCAAAAGGAAAAACGAAAGTTTCTCCTTTTACATTTAGTAATATATACAGGAGAAGGGGTTACTAGCCCCTTGCTCCCGGCATTTTAGTCGCCTCTTACAACACGCATGGCTTACGGAGGAAGAATTCTGTTCCACTTCCCCATGGAGGTAAGAGGAAATAAACAAGAACAAGAACTAGAAAGAAAATAGAAGAAAACCCAAAGGGGTGTGTATATATATGCTTGTACATGTATGTGTAGTGTGACCTAAGTGTAAGTAGAAGTAGCAAGATGTACCTGAAGTCTTGCATGTTCATGAGACAAAAAAAAAGACACCAGCAATCCTACCATCATGTAAAACAATTACAGGCTTTTGTTTTACACTCACTTGGCAGGACGGTAGTACCTCCCTGGGTGGTTGCTGTCTACCAACCTACTATTATTTGTATAAATAAGTCACCATGGGGCCTACAAAGATTAGTGATAATAGCCATCCAAACAGAAAATTGGTTGGGAAGAACTTGTTCAATACTCAAATGCAGCAGCACTCGAACAGCCTTCTGGATTGAATTAAGGTCGCATACCAAGGTTCCTTCTTCTTCTTGCAATAAACCGGCCGTATCCCGCCATTTTAGTCGCCTCTTACAACACGCATGGCATATGGAGGAAGAATTCTGTTCCACTTCCCCATGAAGATAAGAGGAAATAAATAAGGAGAAGAATTAGGTAGGTAGTAGGTTGGTAGACAGCAACCACCCAGGGAGGTACTACCGTCCTGCCAAGTGAGTGTAAAACGAAGCCTGTGATTGTTTTACATGATGGTAGGATTGCTGATGTCTTTTGTCTGTCTCATAAATATGCAAGATTACAGGCATGTCTTGCTACTTCTACTTACACTTAGGTCACACTACACATACATGTACACATTTATTTATACACACTCATCTGAGTTTTCTTTGATTTTATCTTAATAGTTCTTGGTCTTATTAATTTTCCTTTTATATCCATGGGGAAGTGGAATAAGAATCTTTCCTCCGTAAGCCATGCGTGTTGTAAAAGTCAAACTAAAATGCCGGGAACAATGGGCTAGTAACCCCTTTTCCTGTAAAGATTACTAAAAAAATAAGAAGAAGAAAAGTGTCAAAGTGGGAAGTCTGAATGTGCGTGGATGTTGTGCAGATGATAAGAAAGAGATGATTGTGGATGTTATGAATGAGAAGAAGCTGGATGTCCTGGCTTTAAGTGAAACAAAGCTGAAGGGGGGAGAGTTTCAGTGGAGAGGAATAAATGGATTAGGTCAGGGTTTCAAATAGAGTTAGAGCTAAAGAAGGAGTAGCAATAATGTTGAAGGATAAGCTATGGCAGGAAAAGAGGGACTATAAATGTATTAATTCAAGGATTATGTGGAGTAAAATAAAGATTGGATGTGAAAAGTGGGTTATAGTAAGCGTGTAAATGCACCTGGAGAAGAGAGAAGTGTAGACGAGAGAGAGAGATTTTGGGAAATGTTGAGTGAAT